AAATTGCTAATTCTTTCACTGTTATAAGATTCTCCCTAAACTGGATCAGTTTTATTTTTAGGCACTAATGCCAGAAGTAATAGATCCAAGAATGACAAGAAACATGGTTTTACGAGAACCAAACTTTGTTCTTGAGGATAAAATAAAGGTATTTTCTGGTGTAAATAAAAGTTTGATAAATATTTTGTTCTTCGTTCATTTTATCGGAGTTTACAATAATACAGCAATGTTGTTTATTTCGATATTTTGTACGAAGTTCAACAACATAAAACTTGGATTGATGTTAGTTTTCATTATGTAATATAAAGAGTACGGATAGGGACGGATTGGTATTTTAAAGGACCATCCCGGGCACTGATAGCGCCCCAGTAATTTTCCACGTGCTGCATAATGGCAAAACAAGAACGCATCAATTGCCTGGTGGGCCAATCCGACCTAAATGTGAAAGAAATGTATTATGAAATGAGTTTATAATTTTTTTTTCTATATTACGCAGCTATTTCACTGCAATGTTACGAATATTAGTTTTATTTTTGAGACAAACGTTATAAACATGTGAAATTGCAACTTTTCCGACTTTCGGTATATTTCAAACGTGACTAGTGTTAGTGAAGTCGGCTGGGCTTTCTCTAGAAACTACTATTTATTTATTACTTAGAACTTCTGAATAAGACAAAGTTATAACTTTCATCGAACACTGCATAGTGTTTCCCGAACCGTACCCTTGGCTGCACGAGACACTTTTTATTACGGCCGAAATACTTTATGGGACTACTGGGGAGGAAGAAGTCTGAATAGAACCTGACCCTCGAAGGTCGCACACTACTACCAAATACCTATCCAGACTGATAGACAGCTGTGGGAATACTTATTTTCCAGTTCACAGTTAAAAATGCAAACAAAAAATCTCGTAAATTGCAACGTATAATGAACTACAAATGTAAAGAAAAAAAAATTACACATGATCATACAAACTATGTGCAATAATGTACACATGGTAATTTATAATCAGTCACAAGAACGTCGAATCTGAATCACTTGAAAAAAACACAGGGGTGCTTAACTTTTTTCCAGGTGTATATCTATATGTGACTGATTATAAATTAC